CTTTACTTCAGCAATAATTCGAGGGGTCAACTTCCATCACGCAATCTTCTCATGATAGTTTCTTCTCGAAACTTATCTCTCTTCTCTGTAGTTTAGCTTATTTGTGGGGAAGTTTATCTAAATCTTCTCATCAGAATATAGCATTGTTCTCGATACGTTGGGGACTATTTCTTTTGGTACCCTCTAGCAAACAAATCAGCCCCTTACAGTTTCTGAGAACAATCTCCAAAACCAAAGGGGCAAGACATTGCACCAACAATCTCCCCCTTTTTGGCCGATTGTTGACAAAACAGAAACATCAAATAGTAGATATATAATAGGGAACCGATAATGTGCGGAAGGTAAATACAGTCAATACTTCCAAAAAATAATACTCCCCCTGAATGTATGCAACCTTTGAAGAATTTGAAATTCCATGACCCTACATAATATAGTGTGAGGATAACTGAAGGATATTTAAATCTTCAGGAAAAATGAATTGCATTGATAAATAATATCTTAGAATAGGATTAGTTCAATACACTCAGAGAACTTTGATAGAAAACCATTCATGCTAAACAAAATTTTGACATGAACAGTCATAGGAATTCAACGAAGTTTTATAACAGAAGTTCACGCAATATTTATACAAGGTAGTGATACCTCCTTTTGTTGATCCGGTATTGAAACAGAAAAGTGTACCCCGCACCTATTTCCCTAGAGGTTACCCTGGGTTATCGAGCCCACGAGAGGAATATTCCCTTGGAACAATACACTAGTACAATGAGGTGCTATACAAATTGTTTTTAACCCCTTTCCAAGATGGCATTTTAAACAGTCGCCAAGTGAGTGTGTGCGATAGGGGGGTCCTTCCCACATGACCCAAAAATCATCGGGAATATGGAGTCATGATGCATACAGTTGTCCCTATAAAATTGTTTCTAATATCTCGAATATCCCAAATGTTCCATCCTTGCAACTCATTTGTGCTTGCATTGCCATCGCAGTCGGTATTCTGTGGTGCTACGTTTACGATGCGCGACCCATCACAAACAGTTCATGACTATAGAATGTGTACGACAAGCAGACAATCACACACATTTACTTTTTCTCGACTGTATGCGATTCGATGCAAGAGTGCATACAGTTGTCCCTATAAAATTGTACGCGAAGCTTGAATATATCCCACACGATTCATCTGTCATACCCACGTCGGATGAAGACCTATCGCACGCCTTCTTCTATGACCAAATGTTTGCGATGTGCACAACATCAGAAACAGTCCACAATTGCCAAGCGTGTGTGATAAGGTGACCTTCGCAAACATTTAATAAGAAGTAACTGTGTGTGATGATGTTGTTAACCGCACACATTTGTTTTCGGTTGATCATGTGTGCAGTAGAAATTGATCGCACACCACTAGTAGAAAACAGGGCATTACTTCCGGTTCCAGAGGGCCTTTAGTCCCGGTTCTGGAACCAGGACAAAACAAACGGGACTAATACCCAAAACCTTTAGTCTCAATTGGCTTACGAACCATGACTAAAGGGGCTCCATGTGGCCGCTATGGGGCGCCCAGGCAGGAGGACCTTTGGTCCCGGTTGGTAACACCAACCGGGACTAAAGGGCAGCCACGCGTCAGCATCTCCCAGGTGTTGGGGTTTTTTAAGGGGGATTTAGGGGTTTTGGAGGGTTTAATTAGGGGTTTCATATTGTGTTAGTTAGCTATTACATATAGAGAGAAGTGACCTCTTTTTCTCCATGCTTGATCAACGCTAGCTACTAAAAATAGAGAGAACTTGACGCTAGCTAGTTTGCAAATGAAGGAACCATTACACAAGATCGTTATGAACATATATAGAGAGAAGTGACATCTCTTTCTCCGTGCTTGGTCGAACAACAAGTTTTCGTATATCTATCCGACGCTACTACATATATACAATATATCATCTCTTACAATCCCTAACATCATCTACCTAACATCAAATTGCAATTCGATATGGTATTCTCCCTTTTCAAATATGACATGGTCAAGAAAGAATCCCGCCAATTCCTCTTGAATTTCTCGTATGCGATCATGTGGTAGGAGTTCTTCCCGCTTCTCCTAGATCTAATTTAAAGAAGAGGGTCAATACATATATATGAATGGAACTCAACACAATTGATGGTAATAATATAAAATTGTGAATATTGTTTACATACTTCAAATTGTTTTCCAGAGAAGCCCCGCTCAGAGGTCGAGTGGCGAATGAACTCGCAAACATAGTATCCACATAAATTAGTACCGGGTGTCTGATACAAGCACTTTACAAGAATAGAGTTCAATCAAACTGATAATGGTATCGATGAAATAAGAATCAATGAGCGGAACTAGCTAGCATTACTTACTTTGGGTGTGTAAATCGCAGCTCCTTCTCCAGACCGTGGACCATTCCGGTAAACTTTTTCCAAACCCTTCCCAGCAAAGAAAATCATCACTTGATATCAGGAAATGAACAAAAGTTGCCGATATGGTGCGATAATGATTGAACTTACCTCTGAAGCATTTCACTCATGTCATTCCACTCCTCTTTCATCTTTACGTCTCGAGTCCAAGACAGTTACTAATGCCCCGTCAAGCTTAATGGATAGAAGAATAAAGTGGAACCATGAAAAGTCGCGGAGGGTAGGGTGGTCCAATCGGCGAAGGCGTTGTGTAGGCGACGTAGACAGCCGGTGCGGTGGTGCACCACGGACGGGCCGTAGGAGACGGCATGCGCGGCCGGCCAAGAGTCGGCCGGGACGGTGGCGCGGGAGGCCAGGAAACGGTCGAGACGGCAGCCAGGTAGGGCGTTGGTGCCGAAGAGGCCATCTGCGGCGAAGGTGTGCTGGGGTAGCCGGGCGCCGGGCCCCTGTAGGAAGGCAGGTAGGGCAAAGGGGGCGTCACCGGGGCCATCGGTGGCGGAGGAGCGTCGAGGAGCCGGGCGCAGCGCCCCTGTAGGGAGGCGGCGCGACGCCACCCAAGGATGGAGGCATGGAGGCAACGACACCCGAGGATGGCGGCAGCGGCTGATCCCCGGAGTGAACCCTAACCAACGAATGGGAGGACAAAAACGATGATGCGGATGGCGTCAGGGCCGCGGCGGCGGCGGGGCGGCAGCCGGAACCGGCACAGCGACGGCGGCGATCGGGTTGGAGGCAGTAGTGGAAGCCATCGAACTGATCTAAACTGATACCATGCAAAACTTAGGGTTTGGGAAACTGCATGACATCCTTAACGGGTGTGACATCCTTAACGGGTGTGGCTATGTCATATATATATAAGGTACACAAACATGTACAATATAGCTTACAAGACTTGTACAGAGGCTACGTATTTATACAGTCTAACAACGGCCGCACCCGCCCGACTGGGTGCACACACTGTGGTGCCACCTTCTACTCGGGAGCGGGTCGACCACAGCCTTGGGCGCGCCGGAGACGGGCAGAGCTATCAACGACGGCCTCGTCTTCCCATCGGCCAAGCTGACGTCCTGCTCGGCACAGCATGACTGACGCGAGCGGAGGTCTTCCATGGACCCCATCTTGCATCCAGCCAAGGCCACTGCCCCACGTGACGCAGCACGCCGGAGGCGGGTGGCACTAGCCGCGACAGGCCCATCTTGCCGCTTTCCAATGCCACAGTCCGGGCGGTGCAGCGCTAGCCGCAACATCTCCCATCTGACTGCCGGCCACGGCGCCAAGAGGCGGACCTCACCTCGTCGGAATCCTCTTTCACGACGAAGTTGTAGAATGAGTGGGCCATGGGTAAGGATGGCAATGGGTTGGGTTTGGATCGGGTTAAACAATATCAAATCCATATCCATATCCATGAAGACAGTCTTTGCCCTTCCAAAAACATCCATGGGTGAAAATTTGTGTTCATGTCCAAACCCGATAGATATCCATACCCACTGGATATCCATTGGGTCCTCTAGAGACATATAAATAAGACATAATACAATATTAACATAAACTCGTCCATTCTTCACCTTGTGGCAGGCTAGGCTTCACTTATAGTAAACAAAAACTTATGGTAAATCAATGTCCACTAAAAACCTAAGATCATTTAGTATTTTTTTTCTCTAACTGATGGCAATAACGAGTCATTTAACAAGGAAATAAAAATAAGGGAAGGGGCGTTGGAGTATGTTATGCAGGGGATTGAATGTCAACTAATAAAAGTTACGATGGGGATTGTATAATTTTGTTTGCATGTTTTAGGTAACAATGTGTAAAATTGGAGTGGGACAAGTGACTTTGGGGTACAGATAGCAGATTTTTTTTCCCATTAAGTCATACTATCGGGTCGGGTTTGGTATACCCATGGATACAAGATTATATCCATGCCCTACCCACGAGCAATTAGGTCGGGTTTGGGCGTCGCCCATGAACACAAAAGTTTATCCAAAACCTATCCATTCACGTCAAATATCCATGGATATCCATGTCCATGGATAGAATTGCCATTCTTAGCTATGGAGTGTGGAATAGCAGCAATCCGCTTGGATAAGGCAAGACAAAAACATTTTTCTGTATATACTCCCTCCATCCAGAAATACTTGTCATCAAAATGGATAAAAGGAGATGTATCTAGATGAAAATGAATAAAAGGTATGTATCTAGATGTATTTTAGTTCTAGATACATCTCTTTTTATCCATTTTGATGAAAAATATTTTCAGACAGAGGAAGTATAAATTAGAAAAAGGAATTGCGGTTGTTTGAGTAGTGGGGTCCGCCAGGCCAGGACACGTGTTGGCCGTTGGTTGGCCCTGCACAATACTGCGTGCTGGGAACTTTCCCCAGCAGGAGAGCCCGACTCGATCGTGCGCATCTCCCATGGCCGTCCTCCCGAAAAAAGCGGATCCTCCACGTGTGGGGATCGCTCTCGCGAGGGAGTAAACTCCCTTGGTGACAAGCACTAACTAATACACTACTTACTAACAAGTAATACTGCGATCTGGCAGTGCGTACGCGTATACTACTCCTAGTAGCTAGCGCATGGATCTGTCGGTGGAGCGCCGGGAAGCACGTCGGTTTTGTGCGGTGACCGGCGGGCGGGGCTTCATGGCAAGGCACCTGGTGATGGCGCTACTCCGCTCCGGCGATTGGCGTGTTCTAATCACCGACCTCGGCCCTGAAGCCACTCTGTCACCCGCCGAGAATGGCGGACTCCTTGGGGCAGCCCTCCGCGACGGCCGCGCCGTCTACGCCTCCGCCGACGTCTGCCAATTACCCCAACTTACAAAAGGTACCCCTGCTATTTTATTCTCTGTTACTGGTAGGAGGACTTAGATTTGTTGACCTTCATCTTCATCACCCAACTCCCTCTCGTTCTCTACACACAATCTTCCTGATTTGATTTGGACACATCAGACTTGATATACAGGATCTTGGGCAAAACTTGTGATATCAATCAAGTACTAGTGAAAAATTGGATAATTTTGATGATAGATATCCTACCTCTGTACCAATTAATCGATCTTGTGCACTGCAGCTTTGGAAGGGGTAGATACTGTTTTCCATACTGCTGCGCCGGATCATACCAACAACAACTTCAAACTTCATTACAAGGTTAACGTCGATGGTACGTAGCGTCAGTTAACCCTTGTTTCTACCTTGAGATCTCAGATCTACCAATGCAAACTCTCCCCTACATCGCAGGTTTAATTACTCACAAAGTAAACGTTTTTTTCTCTTCATGTTTTCTAAAAAGCACAGGGACAAAGAATGTCATCGAGGCATGTAGGAAATGCAAGGTTAAAACACTCATATACACTAGTTCCGGCGGAGTTGTATTCGATGGAGTTCATGGCCTCTTTGGCGTAGATGAATCAACGCCATATCCAGATAAGGTTTTGCCCCACATAATCTTGAATAAGTCGGTTTCACTCGATGCTTACTATTACTTCTCACTGCCTCCATTTCATGTATATCGTTACTAGTCATTTTTAACTACTACCTCCATCTGGGTTTATTAGTCCTCATCATATTTTGGGTCAAGTTTGACACATGTTTGACTAGCAAAATGTTAACCCATGTCACAAAAATAAAATATTGTTAGATTCGTATTTTAATGGAGTTTCTGATGATATTATTTTTTCTATATATAGTATTTATTTTATTAATTAGAATCGCGGTTAAAATATGATGCAAAATACGAGGGGGCTAGTAAACCACGACGAAAGTACTCCCTTCGTTTTTATTTACTCTGCATGTTAGAGTTGACTGAAGTCAAACTTTGTAAAGTTTGACCAAGTTTATAGAAAACAATATAGACCTTTATCATAATAAATCTATACGATGTGAAAGTACATTCAATAATGAATCTATCATCAAATGGGGGGGGGGGCACTTTTTTCTCACGGGTGAAAAAAAAAGGTGACTTTCCCAAAGTTTTGGGCTACTTCAAGCACTCAGCATAGACTGCCGTGTCAGGTCCAAAGTAGTTAGCAACGTCTTGAATCCCTTCAACAACTAGTATGCAACTTCTCAAAAAAAAAAACTAGTATGCAATCGATTCAGCCTCTATCGTTGTATCCCAGTAGAAGAGTTGACATAGCTCGGGGGCTCCAGAAATCAAACATGACAGCCTGCTACAGGATTTAAATATTTATTTGCAATATTATGTGCATCAAAGTTGGGTTCACGGTGTTGATGGTAGAAGAAAATACCATCCGCTCCCAACTTCAATCTCCTGAATGATCATGGCATTAGAGCCTCCTTCCATACTTTTGTTGACGCCCTTGCAATCTGATGCTATCACGGCTTCTGAGATTTGAAGGTCATGCCTCAAGGATAGTGCTTCACAGCAGGCCATGTACTCAAGCTCAAGCTCAACCAAGAATGTAGGGACAAGACTGTTTGTAGCCAACGTGCTTTCCTAGATGTTTTCATGGATTAAGTCTCCTCTCGTCTTCCACAATGCCGAGAGATTCAGCATTTCCTCCATAGCAAAGAGCCAGTTTTTTTGCTGCCGGTTCTGCACAGCTACGTGCCCGTTCATACAACTCTTCACACCCCATCATCCAAACACGTCTTGCTAATCTACGCTCAACTAAGGAGTGTGCCCATATTCCTGTGATGCAGGATGTGCGACCTTGGCAAGCTTTGCCCTGCTAATCTCCATGCGATTACCCTTATCTTCCTCCTCCGTATCTCTTTCTTGACTTTTTTTTTGCACAACAGGTATTTCTTTCTTGATAAGCATCACAATCTGACTCTTGGTCCTTGTGCTGTTTGTTTCTTTAAAAAATCCTCACGATATGCCACCCTGCCGCGGGAAAATATCTAGTGCACCGGAGCTTGTGGTGCTACCTGTGCACCGAACTCACATTATGTTTTTAAAATGTTCAAAAAAAATTAGCACATTCACACAACATCAATGTAGGTTGTCACAAAATTTCAACTCAAAATTCGAAACATAAATCGAAAAAAAATGACAAATTCAATATTGAATAGTACATAACATAACTTGGCCTTTAGATTTGGCTCATTACTACACTGATGTCAAATTTGTCATTTTTGTATTTTTAAACATATTTCAAATTTTTACACAAATTTTTGTGACATCATACATTGATGTTGCGCTAACATGCTAGATTTTTTTGAAAAAACTTAAAACATTCTATGGCATCTGGTGCACCAGTAGCACCAGAAGTGTTGGTGCACCGGAGTCCGGATACATTCCCACCCTGCCGCTACTGCCGCTTCCACGCACCATGTGCCTCCACTGTGCGCACCAGCCGGATGCCACATGAGCCAGCCCGCCCGCTTGGGTCACGGCGCGTTGACAGCAGTAGATCGTAACTACTCCTTTCCTTGAGTACTAGGCTGAGATCCTATCGTTGTCTACAACTAGGAACTAGTACTAGTTGACCTTTCCTTGACTTAACAAGTATATATACCCAGTGTAAATTATTTGGAAAAGAAAGTATAAATTGAAAATGAATTCTAAAAGTATTGAAAACAGCCATGAATTTGAAAAAAATGTTTAGAGAAATTGAAAAAAAGGTTCAGAATTACTGTTTAAAAGTTCATGAATTCGAAAATGTGCATGAAGTATTTAAAAAAAATCAGAAAATTTGGAAAAAAATATAAGATTTGAAAAAATTCAGCGGATTTGAAAAAAAAATCAAATTTGAAAAAAAATCTCGGATTTGAAAAAAGTTCATCAGATTTGGAAAAAAATTCATTGAATTTGAAAAACATTCATCGATTTAAAAAAAAGTTCATTGTTTGCAAACGTTCATTGATTTTGAAAAAAAGTTCATTAAATTTAAAAATGTTACTTGTATTTGGAAAAAGTCCGTCATTTTTGAAAAAAAACACCGAATTTGAAAAAGAGTTCATCAAATTTGAAAACAATTGATCATATTTGGAAAAAAAGTTTATTGTTTTTTATTAAAAACATGAAAAACAAAAAAATATTGATTTTGAAAAAAACATGAATTTAAAAAAAACAAAAACAAAAGAAAAAAAGGAAAAAAGAAAGAAAAGGAAACCCGGATAAAGCCACTCCTGAAAATGTCGAGTGAACCCAAAAAACGTTTTGGGAAGCTTCTGAAAGCTTTCCAAAATCGGAGGAGTTCCCGCGACTCGAGAAGGAAACAAAAAGATGGGAAGAAGTTATAAAATAGTAGTCGTTCTATGGCTTGGTGGTTGCAGTCGTTGGGGTACAAGAGCAGATCGTGAGTTTGACTTCTTGTGGGCGCACCTTTTTTGAGCTTTTTATAGAAAGAAAAAAACTGATACATGGCCCGGCCTAGTCACGGCAGAGGGAGGTGTGCTGCAGGCGCCGATTTGCAGAAACAATTATAACCGACACCTACAGTGCCAAATAGGGATTCCCCTGCCAGCCGCCCTACACAAGAACGAGCTCTTAATCGGCGCCTTCTATGTCTGTTAGGAGTTCATTCAGGCGTGCCCGCAGCCATTGGCCGGCGCAGATATGGTCGCTTCGCCATGACCCATTTGGTTCCTCCATCAATGGTTCAATGGCACCCCTAAGAAAAATTAACGGTTCAACAGCCGATGGTTGATCAGTTGACCGGTCAACCATTGACTTTTAGAAGAAAAAACTCAAGAAAAAATGGAAAATGCAAAAATTGGAAAAAGCTCGCAAACTTTAAAAAGTTTACGGATTTTTTTAAGTTCACAAAATTTACAAGTTCAGAAATTTTGAAAAAAAAAATCAGGAGTCTGAAAACTAGTTTGCAGATTATGTAAAAAAAACACGAGTTGCAAAAATTTCAGCGTTATTGAAAACAAATTGTCATGTGTTGAAGAAAACGTACATGACGTTTGAAAAAAAAATCTAAATAACATTTTAAATAAATGTTTGTACAATGTTTAAAAAATGTTTCATAGATTCACAAAGTGTATTTTATAATCCATAATGTGTTAACGAGTTTCCAGAATGTTTTTGTGACAGTTTATACAATGGGAAAAAATTGCATACTGTAAACAAAAATGTCTCCTACCACTAAAAAATGTGCGTGCCATTTAGAAAAATGAGATTCAAACAAATGTTGTGACATTTAAAAAAATATTTATTCAAATTTTAAACCATATTCCCGTAGATTATTAAAAAATATTTCGTGTAAAAAATGTAGGTGACATTTTAAAGAAATATTCTTGTTTTCCAAAAGAATCCATGGAGATTTTTAAAATGCTTATAGTGTAAATTTAAAAAAAAGTTTATTGCCGATAAATTTATGTACAATGTGTATTCCAAAAATATTGCCGTGTATTCAGAAAAGTGGTGGAAACATATTTTGTCTTAATAATATATATCATGTTTTAAAAGTCCAAACTGTATCAAAAAATGTTTCACCTGTGTACCAAAAATGTACATTGTGTAATCACAAGAGGTAGACATGTGGTAAAAATGGAATCAATTAAAACCGACAATGAAACACAAAAGAAAAGTAAAGAAATCCAAGGAATACACACAAAAAACCACGAAAGAACCAAAAGTATAATGAAGAATGAAAAACCGCAGAAAACCAATAAAAACAAAGAATAACAAAGGAGAAAAGAGAAAACCCAAAAACCATTGAAAAAACTGAGAAACCCCAAAGATAACGAAAATGAAAAAACTTGAGCGAGCGAGAGAACTACAACAACATATGAGCGGCAGGAAAGGAATGCGTTGATCAGCCGGCCCTGCTAGGGCCGGGAACGCACCAGCCATTCGCGCTTGCCCCGTGGGCCACCAGTAGTTAGCACTTTGCATATATATTTATTTATTTATTGAAAAGGAGGATCACCCCCGGCCTCTGCATCAATCGATGCATGCACTCATATTAGTAAATAAAAATGTAACAGAGTCATGAGGTCCAAAAAAGCTCATAAAATGAGCAGTAGTTGAAATAAAATTTGAAAAAACGCCCCAACCGGCGATAAATAACTCAAAAATGCCACATCCGGCGATAAAACAACAAGCTACGATGCCTACACACCTATCCTATTATTAGCTCGTCACCCAAATCGGCTGAAGATAACCCGTGCTACCGTCTCCCAACGGTCGCACCCAATAAGCATAAGCTCGCTGAAGTCCACATGAATGAGTAAGGACCACATATGAATTCAAGCTGTAGCTCTGTAAATAACCTGCAAAAAAAGTGTTATTATGTTAGCACTTTGCATGCTTGCACACCCTTGTTGCCAGGATGTTCGCCGAAACCTGAGACCAATCTACTATGATCCGATCTCCCATGGAGAAGACCTCACATACGCCCCAGACACTTTCGCCTAATTGCCCTATCAAAAATTTCATGACCAACATATGTTGATACGGCAACTCGCGAGCGACATCTCGCCAGATTGACTTCGGCAAAACGTTGTCGCCATGTCTTCCTTCTGTACATCAACAAAATCACAACCTTGGTATGTAGTTGATCTATCAAAAACCAAGCAATCACACTAGGCATGACACCGAGATTTGTTAACAAGGTTCATCAACATGGCTACATCACTGGGACATGACTATGACGCTCCACCCCATGACACTATCACAATATCGTAGTAACCGCACCCCAACCACCTGGGCATCGACACACGCCATCGGCTCTCATACAAGTGTTATTATGTTGGATTATGTTATATCATGTGTCTACTCTCACATTATGCAGGAGGCTTACATACCAAGTGTCTATTAGGACACAACTCCTATCTTATGTAGATATAATACAACTCGAAATCCAACTATAACCTACCTTGTACACAATATTTGACATAATTTCAACAGCCGTCACAATGAAGTAGCACAATTTGTCACAATGAATCAAACCAAGCATCCAAGTTACCTTAACATTCCCATGCAGAGGCCTTCTTCACTTCTGAACATCTTTCTTTCACTAAAGTTTTGAATTTACCGGACGTATATAATTAATTTCCTGTGCCTTGATCTCATTAGGCTGACAAAGGAGCACACAAACAAATCATCAATGTTGTGATAGAACAAGAAACAAAATAGGAAGAACTAAAAGGCCGGACATGGTATACACTGCTCCTTCTAGTATCCTTCTGCTCACCCATTTGTTCTTGGTTGGATCTCACCTACAAAAAAAAATTAAGCCATGAAGCCACGAATCCAGAAAGTAGAACATCATTACCGAGAGCCAACTGAGGTCGTCATATTATTCTAAACGCAAAACCTAGGCAAGCAAGGCCATGACCACCATGTACATAGCTAACTAATAAGGAAACCAAGTCGTTTACTAGGTAACACCAAATTCAATGACCATGTCTTCTGTTATACCAAGTGAAATATGTTAATGGGAAACCTAGAGCATTATTATACTAACAATGATTCCTAAAAATGAATTGAACTATTCAAATTGATTTGATGATGTATATGCTCTTTCTAAGTAAATATAAAATCTGATTTCTGAATGAAGGGTGCAAGTAAGGAATTGATTTGTAGAGAATGGAATTGGATACATCCAGCATCTTGTGAATGCAGAAAAGAAAAGATATTGAAAATCACATCTAAAATGTAATGCATGTGGGTTGTAGCAGTCCCTATATCCATCAAGCATTACCCTGCATTTTTCTATGACAGGAAAATATAAATGATGTGCACCTACACTTTGTTAGAGCAAGAAAAGCAAGTTGAATTCGAACAAGATAGCATGGCAGACCTATAGAGAGAGAATATAGTGTGGTGGCGGTCCCGGCGCTCTTCTCGCATCACGACAACGATCTGCATGATCGGTCCTCCTCGATCTAGCCCTCGACATGTTATGGAACTCCTGCCGGAGATCTTGCCCAAGGATATCCTGATCGGATAGAATCCGGTCGTGCGCGTCCATATCAGCCTATGCGGCTCCATGAAGGCGTGGTGCGAAGCTCTGTTGTTTGTTGATACCATGGGACATGTCGATATCAATTTTCATGGCGTAGACAGTGGTGGAGAAAGTGATGGTGGTTGAGATCGAAGGATCAATAAAGCGGAGGGGGCCTTGAAGGCAACAGAGTCAGTCGGGTGTTTGATAACTTTCAAAAGCAGGAGTGACAAGTGTGGGCAACAATAATGGATGATTTCATTTTTGTGGTGCTCCTCAGGTGCCGAGTCGTGACTTTCAGGGTGAAAGCCTAAGGACTGACCTTCATTGAATGTGCTGGCAATTGCCTTGCTGAAGGTATTGTTTTGGGAGCTCGGACTTTCTCATAGTAAAAACCTAATATCTTGGATCGGACGACGACGCTGCTTGTGCACGGTTTCCTTTTTGAAGGCATCGCTTTTGGAAACCCGTTTAATTGGGAGATAACATAAAAAAAACCATGCCAATATTGGCGTTTTCAAAAGTATTTTTTAAACATAATTAATTTTAAAAATTCTCATCATGAAAAATTTGCAACTTTTGAAAAGCACTGCAACATTATATTATTTGCTTCTTGGTAGACATTTTGAAATTTTGATTAAAATCACACTATGTCATTCTATACTAATTTTGGTGTATTCAAAATAGCTCTTAAATCATTGTTATTCTGGTAGATGGTTCAACATAAACAAAAGTTGTGCCTTTCTTTTCTCTATATAAATGGCACAGTGTTATATGTTAATAATGTGGTTTTCTTATTTTCAGTTTCCTGATGCATATACACAAACAAAGGCAGAAGCTGAAAAGCTAGTGATCAGGGCCAATGGAAAAAATGATCTTGTCACTTGTTGTATACGGCCTGGTAGCATTTTTGGTCCCGGTGATATGATAGTGCCAATTTTAGTTTCTTGTGGAGGAATGATGGTAAGTACATGTGTATTCCTCATGTTATTATAAAGTCATCTGAATGATGGTTTATTGATGTGCCCTATGTTGAAGTAGATGACATAGTGGTTATTGTTGCAGTTTGTTATTGGTGATGGCAACAATTGTGATGACTTTGTCTATGTTGAGAATGTGGTGCATGGTCATATATGTGCCGAGAAAACTCTTTCTACCAAAGATGGTGCAAATAGAAGTGGAGGCAAAGTATGTATTTACCGTTAAGTTGCTAAAATGTTATTCATGTTATTATTATTTTGACATCTTTTATTTATTTGGTATATAGGCCTACTTCATTACTAATATGGAGCCAACGAACATGTGGGACTTTTTTTATATGGTTTTGGAAGAATTTGGATATAAAAGGTTATTTTGCCTATTCCCTCGTAGATACTATTGTGCTCGTTTCTTAGTTCAGATTTGAAACATCTTTTTACCAAAAATATCCAAGAAAATTACTACTTGGATACATGCCTGCACTATCGTTCCACTTCAAAATAGTGTTGTCGATTGATGATGAAAATATTGCGATCATAGGAATGTGAATGTGGATTTTCAAAAAATAATTGACGTTTACAAACATGCTATGACCCCAGACAACATATGTTTTGACATGTACAAGTGCATTTTTAAGTAAATAGTTACATTTGTTTGTTGTTATATTTTTGATAGGCTTATAGTTTATTTATTCTAACAGGGGTAATATTGAAACTAAATATATATCTAACTTGTGGAATTTGTTTGCAGACGATTTAGATTAAGAATACATGCAAATCTTCTCATGCCGATAACTTATCTCCTAGACTGGAGCTATGCCAACATATTCTCTCTCTATGGAATGCACCAACCTAGCATGCTAACATCCGCAAGAATTAAGTATGTAACGTTGAATAGAACATACAACTGCAAAAATGCTACCGAACAACTTGGTTACAAACCAATAGTGTCACTCAAGGTTCTTACTTCAACTTCTTTTCATTCGGTTTTTTATACTTGTATTTCCTTAACTTTTATAAACTTTGTTGTTAGGAAGGAGTGAAGATGACTACTGAATTCTATAAGCATTTAAGAGCATGATATGTGCAAATTTATCTTAGAAGAAAAAGGGCACTCTATTTAACCCACGCCAATACCCTGCACCAAGTAATATTTAGAGATATAGCTTTGTATTATAAGTCAAAGTACTTTGGTGATATGGGATCACACGATTTGTAATTTATTTCGGCATCGGTTTTGACCTATGCAAGAATGAACCTTGTGTCAATTATGCCACGTCCAATGCATTTGCGTACCTGGGCAGCATTGCACTTACGCTCTCTTTACTCCTAAACACTAGTTCCTGGGGTCATGTCCAATACTTGTAGAATATTAGCTGGTTGTAGTACTTTTTTGTGCTCTATCTGAGGTAGAGCTATGCACATACCTAGGGGGGCATTGACCCCAAACCTTGGACCAAATTGTGAAGGATTTTTTTTGGGTGACCTTAGATTCGACTTTTTTTAGCAAGCTCTGCCACTGAATACAATAGTTAGTTCATACCCAAATCCGTAATGAGCCCATTGGCAAATTTTCCTGGCTCCGCCCCTAGAACGCGTCGGAGGCTGATAATTGTAGAATATTAACTGGTTGTAGTACTTTTGAGTAGCATTATAAGAAGAGATGGGTTTCCTTTTGAACAATGATTATAAGAAGAGATGGGTTGTTAATGAGACCACCACTAAACGTAACTTGCATGTATTTCCTTTTGAGTTCTCCTCTGCATTAAATTCATACTCCCTCCGTTCCAAATTACTTGTCGCAGGTATGGATGTATCTAGATGTATTTTAGTTCTAGATACATCCATTTCTGCGACAAGTAATTTGGAACGGAGGGAGTACATATATTCCATTTAACAGTCAGTGCGATACATGTACAAATCCATCACGAACATTCTTATGTGCTCCTAAAAGGTAGCGACACTAATCCTTGGGCATTAGAGCGCGAATAGCTTCTAGTTTAATTTGCCTAGATGGGAGGGAATGTTGTCATTTAGAAAGGTGGGGTTGAGAAAGAAATTGTCATGAGATGGTCAATGTGGCGGTGGGTTTGAGAGAGTGACTGCCATGACATGGTCAATGTGGCGACTGATGAACTTGTGTATGTCATCGAGATTTGAGATTGAGCTCATCTTCAAATTTGGTGCGCTTTTATCTCTTACAAAAGATACGTGAGAGGTTTTAGTGTTGGTCGGCTGAATTATTTGTAGCCGAGCTGATACAGGAAGAAGATTGAACACACTTGATTCAATGCATCTGGGGGGTCCATATACAGAAAGAACAGAGGGCACTTGGGCCACGACAGAGATCGTGGGCGGCCATGTTCGAGAGGTGGAGGGGCGTGGATGCAAGAGGGAAAACTGCACCCACGCGCGCTATACTAGTCTACTGTCTAGACTACGTACAATACTCACACACACATATACATGTAGGTTAACACACCCCGCAGTCGTGACGTCGCGAGGAGCGACGCAGAGACTGGCACGGAAGTCGTGGAAAACGTCGCTCGGCAACCCCTTGGTTAGCACGTCGGCGAGCTGCTGTCGTGTGGGAACATGGAGAACTCGAAAGTCGCCAATGGCCACGCGTTCGCGGACGAAGTGTATGTCGAGTTCGACATGCTTGGTGCGCCGATGATGGACGGGGTTGCTGGACAGGTACACGGCCGAGATGTTGTCGCAGTAGACCAGTGTAGCAGTCTTGACGGAGCACCGGAGTTCGCCGAGAAGTTGCCGGAGCCAGATGCACTCGGCCACAGCGTTGGCGACACCGCGATACTCAGCCTCGGCGCTCGATCTGGAGACGGTGGGCTGCCGTTTGGACGACCAGGAGATCAGGGCATCGCCGAGGTAGACGCAGTACCCCGAGGTAGATCACCGTGTGTCGGGGCAGCCGGCCCAGTCGGCGTCCGTGTAGGCCCGCAAGTCGAGTGTCGAGGACGCACGGAGATGGAGCCCGAGGGATGCGGTGCCGCGAATGTACCGGAGGGCACGCTTGATCAGCGCGTGATGACACTCGCGAGGATCATGCATGTGAAGGCAGATCTGCTGGACGGCGTAGGCGAGCTCCGGGCGAGTGACGTGAGGTACTGCAGCGCACCGGCGAGACTGCGATATGCAGTAGGGTCTGCGACACGCGGTCCAGTAGCCGCAGGAAGCTTGGCCTTGGTGTCCACCGGAGTTGGAGCAGGTTTGCAGTTGTCCATTGCGGCGCGTTCGAGCACGTCCTCTGCGTACTGCTCCTGAGAGAGGAAGAACCCCGCAGGAGAGCGCGTGACGCGGATCCCCAGGAAGTAGTGCAGAGCGCCAAGATCCTTCATGGCGAACTCCGTGGTCAGGGTGGCGATGATGCGGTGAAGGAGAGCATCGGAGGAGGCCGTGAGGACGATGTCACCCACGTAGAGCAGAAGATACGCGGCGTCATTGCCGCGCGCGAGGGTGAACAATGAGTTGTCGGAGCGCGTCGCTACGAACCCTAGGGTGGCGAGGAAGCCGGCGAAGCAGAGAAACCACGCGCACGGCGCCTGCTTCAAGCCATACAGCAACTTGGAAAGGCGGCACATGTGGTTGGGTTTGTCGACGTCGATGAAGCCGGCTGGTTGCAGGCAGTAGACCTCTTCCTGTAGTGTACCGTGCAAGAATGCGTTTTTGACGTCCAATTGATTGACAGGCCACCGTCGAGCGGCGGCGAGGGTGAGGACAGTACGGATCGTTGCAGGTTTCACCACAGGAGAGAAAGTTTACCGTAGTCCACACCGGCGCGTTGATTGAATCCACGCACGACCCACCGGGCTTTGTATCGTTCAAGAGAGCCATCAGCTCGTGTTTTGTGGCGAAAAATCCATTTGCCGATGATGACATTTGCGCAGGGAGGCTGGGGCACGAGCTCCCACGTGCGGTTCGCCGAGAGAGCAGCAAACTCGTCTTTCATGGCAGCCACCCAGTTTGGGTCTATAAGGGCACCACGGACAGAGCGTGGGATGGGAGAGATCGGCTGAGAGGCGGCAGTGGAAGCAACGCAGACGTAGTCGGCAGCGTAGCGGCGATTGGGTTTGAAGACGCCAGTGCGCGCGCGCGTGTGAGGATTCCGGGAGCGGGCAGCGGCGGTGAAGCGGCCGGGCTACCCAGGTCGTCGGATGACGAGCCGGTGGATGCATGGGTCGTGCATGCAGTCGACGTGCATGGGCCAGTGGGCGAAGGTGGTGGAGGCGTGGTTTGGGAGGCTATACTGGGGCCAGTGGACAGTGAGGCTGTGGCGCTACAGGAAGGTGGGCATGGCGGTGGGGGCGTGCACGACGTGCGGGGGGCGGCAGGGGCTGGTGGCGACGCACGCGTTGGCGCCAGTATGAGGCGCGGTGACGGCACCGAGGGTGCCGGCGGGAGACACGGCGTGGCGAAGGGAAAGGTCAGCTCGTCAAAGCGAACATGGCACGAAGTGAGCACGCGGCGTGTGAGGGGATCATAGCAACGATAGCCGCGATGATCAGGGGGGTAGCCAAGGAATACGCAAGCGACGGAACGGGCGGCGAGCTTGTGACTAGAGGTGGAAGTGGTGTTGGGGTAACACAGGCAGCCGAACACCCGTAGGGCGGAGTAGTCAGGGGCTACACCGAGGAGGAGTTCATGTGGGGAGCGTGGCGAGCTCGACGTGCATGGCTTGTAGTTGAGCAGAAGTGTCGCGGTGGCGAGTGCTTCAGCCCAGAAACGAGGCGGGAGTGAGGCGTGGAAGAGGAGTGCACGCACGCTCTCGTTCAGAGTGCGGAGGGTGCGCTCGGCTGTGCCGTTTTGTTGGCTTGTGTATGGGCAGGATAGGCGAAGCACCGTGCCATGGCGAGATAGCAGAGAGCGTACGGCGAGGTTGTCAAACTCGCGGGCCATTGTCAGTTTGCAAAGCTAGAATGGGACGTTCGAACTGAGTATAAACATAGGCATAAAACGCCGTGAGTACACAGATCACATCCGATTTGTTGCGAAGGGGAAATGTCCAGACATAGTGGGTACAACTATCAACAATAACGAGATAGTACTCGAAACCAGAAATGCTAACAACAGGTGACGTCCAGACATCTAAATGCAATAGCTGAAATGGGAAATAACTAGTGGAGAGGGAGGCAGTGAACGGGAGCCGAGTGTTCTTGCCGAGGCGACATGCCGAGCATGAGTGCGGGGCGGACGGTGCGCAGGTGAACTCGAACTGACGGAGAGCACGACGGAGCACCTCCTCGCCGGGGTGCCCAAGGCGGTTGTGCCACAACTCTGTTGATGCGACGCCGGAGAAGTAGCTGGCGCGTGGAACGGCAGGGTTGCGGCACACCGGGTACAAGTCGCCAGTCGAGTCACACCGAAGGATCACCAGGCGGGTGCAGATATCCTTGACAGAAAACCCAAAAGCGTCAAATTCAACAGACACGGGATTGTCGCTGGTGAGGCGACGAACGGAAAGTAGGTTCGTGATGATGGAAGGAGAAAGAAGCACGTTATGGAGCTCGAGACAGGAATTGTTGGCAACGAGCAAGCCGCGCCCAGTGTGGGTGACGGGCATGCGGCCACCGTTGCCAATGATTATATCACGGGGAGGGACAGAAGGGTGAAGGGAGTGTAGATTACCAGGGTTCGAGGTCATGTGCGAGGAAGCGCCGGAGTCCATGTACCAGTCGAAAGTGCCGGTAGGAGGTGACGACGACGCGTGCACGGCCTGGAGCGTGCTCTGGAGCCCGCCCATGTCCCACGGCTGCTGCTGCGGGGGCGGAGGCGCGTTGCTTGAACTGGCGCCGGGCGAGCCGTAGATGAAGCCGGGAAGGATGCTTGGGTAGCCGCCGTAGCCGTAGCCGTAGCCGTACTGAGGAGAAGCGGGCGGCGCACCCCCGGCGAAGAATGCTTGTTGCTGCGGGACGCCGGGGCGTGGTCCGAGAACGCCGGCGCCCGGCGCACGCCAGGGCATTGGCCAGGCCTGC